GGCCAGGCTGGGGGGACACAACGGGAGGTGGGGTCCTCCGGATGGTCACAGGTGGCTGGGAGCCTCTGCCACCCTGCTCTCCTCCGGGCTTCACGCTGGGGCATGAGCGGCCAGGGCAGGGGGCAGGCTCGCTGGCCCTCCTCCAGGGGATGAGAGCTGAGGGTGCAGGACCCGCCAGGGGCCACGGTGTTTCTTCTGCAGCCTCATGCACAGGCCCCTGGAGGGCCTGGCTCTGCAACAGGAGGAATGTGGCCATGTTGTGATTGTAATCTTTCCTCCTCAAGGAGTCCATCACTGTTAACACGTTGAATCCCATTCCAGCCATTCGGCTAAGGATTGCCCTCTTCGTGGGCACAGGGAGCGGCTCCGGAGGACTGGGGGGCCGGACACTCTGAAGCCAGCGGTGCTTCAGCACCTCCTGCAGTGTTGGCCGCCTCGTGGGGTCCCGGCTCAGGATGTTGCTAATAAGGTGTTTGACTTTGCAGGAGACGAAGCAGGGGTAAGAGACCCTCCCACGAAGGATATTTCTGATCGTCTCCGATTCACCCTGATAAAAGGGATGATCCCCAACAACCATTTCATATAACGTCACTCCCAGGGCCCAGACATCCAGGGGAGGGGCTTCGTACCGCCGGCACGAGAGTCTTTCGGGTGCGTAATAGGCCAGTGTGCCGCCCACTGCGGTCACCTCCTGCCCGGGGAGGAACCGGATCCCCAACCCGAAGTCACAGATCTTGGCCCGACCTTCGGTGTTGATCAAAACATTTTCAGGCTTGAGGTCCCCGTGCACAATGCCCTGTCTGTGGCAGTAATCCACCGCTGCCAAGACGTCTCTGAAAATCCTCTGGGCCTCCTTCTCCCACAGCCTGTTCTTTTTGCTTCTGCAGATCTCTTTCCGTAGGTTGACTCCATACACATATTCGAGCACTAGATAGACTCTGTGCCTGGTCTCTATAACTTCTAGTAACTGTGTGATGTTCGGGTGTTGAAGGTCCTTCAGAAGTCCCACCTCTGACATAATGCTGCCCTTTCGCGCCCTTGCCTTTGTTAATTTTTTCACCGCTACCTGCATGCCTGTGGCACAATGTTGAGCTAGAAACACTTTGCCAAATCCGCCTTTGCCGATAAAGCGTACCACACTGTAGTGTTCTCGAAGTCCCCGTCTAGACACGCTGGTCGTGAGGCCCAGACAGGATGCTCCCTCACTACACTTGCCATGAACCCTGCTGGGCACTGGGTAATGATTCCCTATACTACCCATAGCACCAAAGCAGTTATCAAATCAACGATAATCTCCACTCAACTCTAATCTCCACTCAACTCTAAACAGTCTCCTTCCACCCACAACAGACCCACCCGAGCCACGCCTTATATAGATAACTGCCGTGACCTCACAGAGGCTTCTGTGATGTCACAGAACCAACAGGCCAATGCAGAGCTGGCCACACCCACCAGGGCCACCTCACTCGTGACCATTAGGACCTTCTGTTTG